CCTCATTAACAAGAACTGTGAGACATTTGAGGTGGAATTGCAGGTAAAGATAATGGAAGAAAAGAAAAAAAGTTGAAGTTAAAGAAGAAGAAACTGGAAGAACAAGGTGAGCATATGAAGAATGAGAATTTCCAGTTGAGCAGTGCGGTGTTGAATTGTTCACAGAAAAACAAGAAGTATCGAATGGGTGTTATTGTTTCATGGATCGTATTTGTCATTTTTTTACTATTTAAATAGGTTCTAATGAAAGGTTTAGTTGATTGTAATTTCCAGTGTTTTGTGATGTACTACCTCCGTCCCCCTAAGTTTGGGACAAGAGAAGGTGGCACAGTTATTAATAAAAGTGGGTTTATGTGGTTGATATTGAATTGATAAAGTAAGAATAAAGTAGGATTGATTTAGAACCACACAAATTTTACCAAATAAGGTATGAGACAATCTTAGTGGGACGGACCGAAATGGTAAAATGGGACAATCATAGCGGGACGGAGGGAGTAACTTATAATTTAACAAGTGTACATAAATGTAGTTGATTACCTTGGAATGAAATATTCATGTTGTTGATTAATACATGTGTTCATTTGTATATAAGGTTGCACGTTTGAAGTGCTGAAGTTAACAATCTGCAGGTTGTAAAATTGCAGATTTTGAATTGAAAGTTTTAAAATTGTTTCGAGATTTTCGAAGTTGAGGTTTTCAAAGAGGTTTTGTAAGTGAAAAGTTTAATAGTTAGCTTTAAAGTGCAGGTTTTGTGCTCATTAAAACCTATGAGAACAAATGCAGAGAGATTTAATAATATGCCTTTTATAAAGTGTAGGTTTTGAATGCAGTGAAATAGTTAGCTTTAAAGTGCAGGTTTTCTTGGACGAGTTTCTCAATAATGTGCCTTTTATTCAAAGGATTAAGGATATCTACAGGATTCTATGCTAACAGGTCCTGCACCAGTTCTATGAAAAACAATGATGCACCTTAATAAATTAACAAAGACAAAAGAAACAAAAGAAACAAAAGATTTTGGATCATGGACAAAAATCATCTTACTTGCCCTATAACATGTGTTCTGTTCTTTTTACCTATCTAGCTAACCAGCACATCAAATAGCCAAATTGACTGCCTTAACAGACCATACACATAGTGGAAGAAAGTGAAAGTGAAGTATAAATGCAATATGACTTATGGCTATGAAGCCAAGATATAAGATAATGAACTTGACATTTGAATCATTTTCACAGACTAGGAAAAGTTTTAGTAACCGAGATACCTGGATTAAGCAAAGCATATAGTCATAAGTCACACACAAAACTAGATAAACATTAAACATATGACAATTAATTTAAATAACATCAATAATAAGGTTAGAAACTTATATATTAGAATGAGATAAAAACAAGTGAAAATGACTACATGTGTGTGTAAATGGCCAGCTAGTTGGTTCAGTAGACTTTTCTAACAAGAAGCCTGGAAAGTTGATGACACTAAAAAACCATAACCACCAAATACATGTTTCTACAGAATTTCAGAGAGGCAATATAAACAAAATCAACAACTCTCAAGAAATATATACAACCATTAACCACTAAAGAAACCAACATGTACTACATCAACCATGTCAACACCCATTTAATTTCAAATAACCATCTAGTACACACATACACAGACAATTAAAATGCAGACCATTATCACCATAATTCAACCACTTGACATTAATATAGAAATAATAAGCACCAATGTATTTCACCATAATCAATAATCCATTCAACAGGGGACATAATCAAAATAAAAAAACATCCCAAACATTATGGACCATTAAACAGGGGACCAGTATCACCATAATTCAGTCACTTGACATACCTAAAAACAGCCTAAATGTTTAACAAAATAACCATAAAACAATGTAATAACCTAAAACTATTACATCATATATTTGTCATTCTCCATTTTGCCCCAAGTTGCCGCTTTCTCGTCCTTGGGATGCTTTATTTCCCCTTGAACTTCTTGCTCCTCTGGATCCCATTCCACCTCTAATAACTCTACCCAATCTATTCGGTTCTGTTGTAGTAGAATGATGATTTAACTGTCGAGCTATAGATGTAAAGCGTAGAGGTCCAGAACTTGTTATTGGCCTTCCCTTTGATCTCTTGGGTTGCACTTCCTTAAGCACGACTTTGTCTCTTTATAACCTAACAAATCACAAATAAATTTGTTACCTTATAAGTCAATCTTTTCTGCAAATTTCGTAATAAAATGTCTGGCATTTTATCGAACACCTTCAGGGTTGGGGTCAATAAATAGTGATTCAATTGTGCTGATTTTCATTACCAAACCAAGGACAGTTATTTATACAACAAAACCGACTCCCCTTTTCAAATGTATGTTTGAAGTCTTGGAAGTTTGTAATTAATGAGTAGTTGTGGATTTGATATCTTACCGGTATGTAATCACCTTGGTCTACCCACGTCCTCGCTGTAGTCGCCCAGTGTTTTCCTTGCCGCAATCCCCCAGTGTTGTCCTCGCCGCAGTCCCCTGGTGTCGTCCTCACCGTCCTCCGGTGTCATTCTCTATCAGCCCGGTGAAGAAAGATTACATGTGACGCTCAAATTTTAACCGGTAACAAGTCATTGGGACCGAACATAGAAGACCAAATAGAAAGGTGGGATTTATTTCAGGGAATCAAATTTTGGGAAGACCAAGTAAAGGTGGGATTATTAGAATCAAATTTTCCTTAATTATGGGCTGAGTGAATTTTTAGAGAGAATTCCCAAAGCCATGGAGCCGCATGACTCACACCAATCGGACTGCCTGAAGACAATATTATGACCTTGAATTTAATACATTTACTCGGCATTAATTATGGGCTGAGTGAATTTTTAATTAGAGAGAATTCCGAAACAACGGGGTTTTTGAACATGTGAGGCAAAACCACGGGACTTCACTTTAGGGTACAAAAACAAGGGACTCGGAAGTGCCATTTCCAAATGATATAGGGCTAGATTTGAAGCTCTTCCTATTGGGAATTCCCATTTCCAAATCCATGAAATGCTTTTTAGAATCCCATTCGGAATCCCCACTTTCAAATCCGATTAAATGTTTCTTTTAATCCCCATTTCCAAATCCCATTAAATGTGCTTTTATTATTCTGAATCCCCAATTGAAAAATAAACAAAATAAAATGTAATGCTGCTCCAATTCGAAATATCCATTTCATAATGGGGGGAAAAATCAACCCATTCAACTCATTTCCCATTGTGAAAAAAATAAAATAAACCGAGTCACATATTAAGTAGATACATTTTAATCAGATATGACCTATCTATAATAAAATTTAAACAGATAAATCACATAAAATTTAATCAGATAAAATTCATCAGATAAGAGTACTCCACTGTATTAATGAAGTATAACATTTTTAGATGTTTTAATAATATTATACTAATAATGCATCGGAAAAATTTTAATCAGATAAAAATTCATCTGATAAAATTCATTAGATAAGATTTCATCGAACGCACCTACACACTTTAATTCTCCTTCATATAGACACTTTAATTTCAATCCACACTTTTTTTTTAATTTCAACCCACCCCTGACATCTATCTCTGCCACCCTAATTAATTGCACTCCAAATGAGTAAAAGGCAAAAAAACTTGAACCCAATCCAAATGTCATTCGACCCCTTCACGATGACCTGTTATGGAGTCATGTTTTTCGTATTGGTTTAAATGAGTACGAAGAATTGTAAATTTTCGTGGATTCTATAAACGACTCCATAATGCCACAAAATTTGATCTTCGACGATGTTCCTACAAATATTGTAGGAACTTATTATTGTATGTGTACACATTTATTAATAAATTAATTTTTAGTACATTTTTTTCAGTTGCTTTCAGAAATTAAAATAATTACATACGAAGTATTTAAAAAAACAATTTCATTGAATAAATGTAATTCAAAGTATATTTTTTAGGGAATGGTATATGTCTACAAAAAGTAAAAAAAAAAAAACTAAAAAACAAATTATTTGGAATTGGAGAATCCGAATGCTAGGTTTAAAAAAAAATCCCATTTCCTATTCAGCCATTTCCAATTAGCACCAAGTCTAAAGAGAACCCTAACTCTATTCAGAAATGTCATTTCCAACTCACGTGATCCTAGAAACCCTTGGAAAAGTCCCGTGTTTTGGCACTTGGTGTTGCCTTTTCCCGTGTTTATAGAAATCACCCGAAGTTTTATCCCTGTTTTTAGGCGGGAAATTGAACATTTTTCCACCTTACTTTGTGTATAGTAAGATATTATTTGTTTAAGCATTTTTATGTAAAGTATGGATTGACTAAATGGATTCAAAGATAAAACTAAGGTTATGCACATAAATTGAATAAATACTAAAAATCAAGAATACTTTAATGACGAAAATGAGCATGTATTTCGGTGAGTTCTAGAGTAGTTAGTTGTGTTTTATTTTACAATGAAAAGAACTATGGGGTTGAAATTAGTGCATATTTGCTCATTCCATCACTTCCCAATTCACAACCCAGAATCTTTGCCCCAAAATACATAGTGGATCAATCTGTAGATTGATAAATTATTATATTAGTGGGCCGTTTATTCATAAATCAATCTGGCTTATTAGTGCATAGATTGTAGACATTTAAATTAGTGGGCCGTTTATTCATAAATCAATCTGGCTTTATTGAGCATGATGGTTCGTAGTTGAATTGTTATTGGACCTCTTTAAATGTCATCAAAGATCCGGCTGAACTGTCGATCCTTGTCTACCATGAACCAAGTTTGGACACTTTCACTTGATTTTATTCTGAATGACAGTATGACACTTGTTTTTACAAAGGAACTAATTAATAAATAATTAAATCTCACAATTATAATATTTACTTCCCGATCCATAACTGTAGAACACTAGAACTAATTACTCATATATTTTCTCAACATTATCAATGTTGATAACAACGGTTATACAAATGTAGAGTTTAATATCAGACGAGTTCTTTCTATTTGTAAACACAGCCGAAATGAAATACTTTGCATCCATGATTTTTAAAATTTGCTTACAATTAATGAACAAAAAATAGTTACAGGAAGAGGAATGAAATGTTCAAAACAGTCTTTGATTACAAATGTTTACATGCTACACGTACTGATGCAACTTATATCCACACAAAAAAACTTACCAAATGTTAACTAATTATATACTCCGTAGGTAGGTCGATACCATATACTATACGGATGATGGATCATATCATCATATAGGAAGTACTACTTTCGTCCCGAACAGTTTTACTTTTCTTTATTAATTTGGAGACTTATCGGGATGGAGGAAGTACGAAATATATGCCGCAGGTTAATTGGAGACTGGCCTAATGAGCTCATATCATAATTTATAGGTTAATTAATTAATTAAATTACGTACTAAGTGTAGTAATTATTATAATTAATTAACATGTACGATGATGAATCGGTGCTTTTTTGTTTACATATGACGATGATGGTGGCGGTGATGATGATATTGACGTTGTTGGAGCTTCATTTGTTGGTAAAATCGTTGGATGAACTCCTCCGCCTTGACGTCTATCATCTCGTCGCCGGCAAAATCGTCGAACACCTCGTCGGGATCGGAGCCGGCGTCCAGCTCCTGCAGATTGCCCACGGAGGCGTACCTGCTCATTGTGCCGCTCGCGCATGACATGTGCGACGGCGACGGCGACGGGGAGCTCATAATGGACAGATTCTCGTACGAACACGACGGCGACATGGACGGCGTCGGGGATTTGTCCTGCAGGGTCAACGGCCGCATTGACCCCACCACCGCCTTCCAGTCGCCGCTCTTCTTTTTGGTCAGAGACTTGCTCTTCTCGTTCGCCGGCGACGGCGGCTTCTCCTGGAAGATGTTGAGCGCCGCTTTGAGGAGGCTGAAGGATTTGCTGCGCTTTTTCTTTTTAAACCCGCCGCCGATGGGGGAGGGCGGGGCGGCGGGTTCGAAGGAGGCGGCGTCGTTTGCGTTGTCAACGATGGGGGGAGTGGGCGGGGGGACGAGTTCGAAGCAAACGGCGTCGTTTGCGGAGTCAACGTCGTCGGTGGGGGTGGTTGACGGGGGAATCTCTTCCTCCTTCATCGTTGAGATCGATCGATCGAACGGTGGGAATTGGATTCTGGGTTGGATCATAAGCTGCCCTGCAAAAAGCAGGGCGATTTGAAGAAGGAAAAGCTCTGTGGGAGAAATGGCAGCCCTCACTTGTCGCACTATTTATATGAACTGTGACCAAAATAAAAAGGAAGACCAATTAGCGTAGAGGGAAGACACTCTTTTGAACCGGTCAACTTCGTAAAATTCTCCTCACCTTTGATTACAGTTGTTAATTTCTGTAATTTCCCAATATAATTTCAATGTCATTTGAAGTAAATTCCTTAATAGTACTATCACTACTATGATCTAAATCTGATTGAATTATAATATTTAATGCTATCTCCGTCTCGAAAAGATTTACCATAATGACTTTTTCTGATCAATGATGACAAACTTTAGATAATGATTTTAGTTATCATATTTTTATATAATTTGTAAAATTTATACTTTTATGAAAATATTTTGAATAAGAAACATTTTAATATAATTTTCATATCCAAAATAATATCGCATTAAAAAATACCTTTGATCAAAATTGATAATCATTAACTATGAAAAGTCAATTTGACGAACTTTTCCGAAACAGAGGAAGTATAAAAGATAGAAAGAATGACAAAAGTTAGAGTGTTGGCTTTCAATTGGACAAGAATAGAACCCATGCTCGTATAGGACAAATAAGTTATTAAAATTATATGAAGTGCCTAAATTACCCACACTGCAACATCACATCATCACTTCGTCCCTGCGCTCTTCTTCGCCTCTTCATCGCATCCCGTCCCATCTCCTGCAACCGTCTTCATCTTTCATCCAAAAAATATCATTGCCTGAAGGCAGTGCTACACGATTCAGCTTCTAGATCTGAAGCCTAGGGTTTCCGGTCCAATCAAGCACGTGTGGCGGAATGCTGTGATTTTCAGTCAGCGGTAGGGTTTCGGAGGCAGAGGAGGTGGTTAAATTACAAAGGGTCTTGGGTAGGGGAGGGGGTTGGGATGGACTAGGGTCCGGTGTGGTGCCTCGCCGGTGGTCGGAGTTGGATCTGTGTTGCGGGGGAATGGGTGGGATGCATCGATTGTATGGGGCCGGGTGAGGGGGCAACAATTGTGTGAAGGATGGGGATGGGGAGTTGGGGATAGGGATGGGTAGGGGTGGTGGAGGACAGGGGCGGCAACAGTGGCCGGGGGTAGCAGGGGCTGGCGGTGGCAGTGGGCTGGGGCTGGGGTTGGGGGCTGGGGTGAGCTGGAATGGGGTTGGGGTTGTTGTAAGAGAGGGGCCGGGGTTTATGGCTAACGGTGGTGGTTCCCGACGGTGGTGGGTGGTGGTGAGTGGTGGTGGCTACCGGTGGTGGTGGAAGGTGGTGGTTACCAGCAGGAATTAGAATCGATGTAATTGATCGGGTAACTATAATTGACCTGGTAAATGTAATTAGTAGGTTCGAATAACTGTAACTAATCGGGTTGGACATAAGGTATTGATTGGGTTGGATAGTTGAAACTAATCAGATTGATTAATTGTAACGATTGGGGTCAAGTAACTGTAATTGGACGATTGGACGTTGGTCATTGGACGAACGAACGCTGGTCACTGAACAAGCGGAAAGTCACTATGTCACTGAGCGGAATTTTTGGTCACTAATGCTTTTTAGTCACTGGTCGAGTAACTATAATTGGACTGATCGGGTAATTGTAACTGGGGACGTGGTCGAGTAACTGTGAATGCGGTTCGTGTAACTGTGATTGAATGGGGTCAGGTAACTATAACTGGACGGGTCAGATCGGATAATTGTAACTGCACGGGTCGGTTGGATATTTGTAAATGGACGGATCGAGTAACTGTAATTGGACGGACTGAGTAACTGTAATCGGACGATTCACTTAACTGTAACATGACGGGTCGGGTAATTGTAACTGGACGGATAACTAAAATAGGTGTCGGGGGATAACTATGAGTAATTGGACGATTAACACCGTAATTTTTGAAGTATAAAAATCGCACAACTTTTTTCTCTTGAAAATAGTTGTAACATATATGGTTGAGGAGCTAGGAAACTGCAAGGGAATTTCGTACTATTCATTATGCCTTTTAGAATGATACGTAGGTCATACGTAGTACTAGTAGTATATAGGCAATTAGTTATTACTCCGTACTCCGTATTAATTAGGGAGGGTGTATTTGGTATTAGTTATTAAATAGTCACGTGGTGATCTCTTTTTAGGAAGAATTAGGAAAATTACTTATATTTATCCAATCTCTTCTAATTAGTAATATTGGTGACCTAACCCCTAAAAGATATGATAAACACCTAAACCTAGCTAGGGGTATCTCGAGTTTCAAATCAAAGTGGAACCGGGACTGAGCCACCAATTTCCGGTTTCAAAATTTGAGGAACCGGGTCATGACTCGTACAATAACAGTTTCAAAACCCGATGGTTCCAATTTCAATTTGATTCAGTTTTTGGTTCCAAATTATTTCTTATTTCTTTTTTTACATACTAAAAGATTCTTTTTCAAGAATAGAGTAAGCATTAAGTCGTAAGATTATTTAAATAAAGGAGTTCCCAAAGCATATTAATATATTCTACGTAGTAATTATTATTGCTATAACCAAGTACTATATAATAAATAATAAGATAGTTAATAAATAACTAGTTACAGATTAGAGCATCTTCACCCTTAGCAAACTTAGCATGGAACAAATTTTCATACATGGCAATCAATAAGTTTTGAGTTATGTACCTAGGAGAACATTGAAACCTAAAAAACTGGTCCAGTGCTTAATGTCAATAAAATGACCTATATAACAGCTATACGTGTAATCCTTTTTTAAAAGTAAAATACTACTTTTGTTTATTGAGATATTTGATATTTTATTATTATTATTATTATTATTATTATTATTATTATTATTATTATTATTATTATTATTATTATTATTATTATTATTATTATTATTATTATTAAATGTGTAATAGGTTGGCATGTCTACTTGCATGGGCCATGCAAGATGTATTCTCTCTCATGTAATTTGCCATGCGTATGTACTATAAATATGCATGAGGTATTGCTTAATAAAACACACGAAGGAGAACTCCCTCCTTATATTATACTCTCTACTCCATATTATTTATTCATACTTATTTTCAATTTTAACATGGTATCAGAGCCGAAACCCTGGAAACAAATTTACACTCTTCCTCCTACATTTTTCTTTTGATTAAGCAGTGGCTTGTGGTGATATAACCATGTCACATGAAGCTATTTTTTCTTCCTCATCTAATGCCCAAATAAATATGGCATATACATTGCCGCATGCTCGTCCTTGGATAATTGATTCCGGAGCTAGTGAACATATCACTTGTAGTGATGTTAATCTTTTTGATATTGTCACTCACACAACGGAACCGTCCGTCAAAATACCTAACGGCGAATCCGTTCCGGTCCATTCCATCGGTAGTTTATACTTACCCAATGGGCTTTGTCTTAAACGTGTTTTATACATTCCAAAATTCCAATGCAACTTGCTTTCCGCTAGTCGCCTAACAAGTGATCTAAGTTGCACTCTAACATTTTTTCCGGATTTCTGCGTTCTACAAGAGTTATCCTCAAGAAAGTTAATTGGGGTGGGAAGACTCCGCGATGGTCTTTACTACATGGAATCTCCCGGGTCCGAAAGAGTGGCACTCTCCGTCTCCATCACTTCCGATTTATGGCATCAACGTTTGGGACATGCTTCCGATGGAAAGCTACACCACATTAGTTCTCTCAAGGGTTTTCAACAAAGTAGCAACTTTTGTGATCCTTGCCTCCGAGCTAAACAAACTAGACTGCCGTTTCCTACGAGTACAATTAAAACAACTCGTTGCTTTGAGTTGATACATTGTGACATTTGGGGAGGCTATAGATCCGATTCACTATCTGGTGCAAGGTATTTTCTATCTATTGTTGATGACTTTACCAGAGGTGTGTGGGTCTACTTGATGAAAAATAAATCTGAAGTTTCTCAATTTTTAATAAAGTTTTGCAATATGGTTTACACCCAATTTGAGCAAAGGGTCAAGCGGATAAGAGCTGATAATGGTGTGGAGTTTCAAACCAACATTTTAAGTGATTATTATGGACGGAATGGAATATTGTTAGAAACATCATGCACAGACACACCACAACAAAATGGGGTTGTAGAACGTAAACACAGACACATATTGGAAGTTGCAAGGGCACTACGCTTCCAGTCTGGGTTACCTATTAATTTTTGGGGAGAATGTATTTTAACTGCTGTTTATATCATTAACAGACTCCCCTCGCCTGTTATTTTTAACAAAAGTCCTTTTGAAATGTTGCTTGGAAAAGTGCCTAGTTATGATCATCTACGGGTGTTTGGATGCTTAGTATATGCGCACGATAATAAACAGAAGGATAAATTCAGTGAGAGGGGGAGTCCTGGAATATTTATTGGCTATCCACACGGTCAAAAGGCTTATAAAATTTTTGATTTGCAAAAACAAACGGTCTACAGCTCTCGAGATGTGGTGTTTTATGAAGATAAATTCCCTTTTAAAATTGCCTTGGATGAGGAGCTTGAGTTCTCGACACTTGTTCAGAAGGTTTGCAATCACACATTAAATCAAAAGCAAGGGTATTCTACATCACCGCACCTCACATCAAGGGAAAATTATTTTCCCCACTCAATTGCCACCCATGAAAGACAAGTTGGGAAAAATAATTATGGCCCCACATCAATACAAAGAAACCAGCCGCAGGAGGTTCACTCACCTAGACAGCAGCAACTAGTTCGGCAGTATACTTATGACCCCACATCGGCTGAAATAAATGACCAGCTACGTTGCCAAGAAAATATGCCGACTCCTGTGCGTGACTCACCAAGACCCACACCTACTGAACGGACCATCCCAGTGTTGTCTGAGGAGCGGCTGCCCCACCATCAACAGCTGCAGCGACCCTTCGTTGTGGCTCCAGTACGTGAAACAACGTCACCGGATCACACATCTGAGATAATTGATGAACTACAAGTTAAAACCCCCATTCCACTCACCCCACATATGCAATCAATCACCGCACCAGGACTGTTATCCACCGGCCCCACCATTCCATCTTCATGCATTGCACCTTGTGAGTAGGGGTGGGCAAAAATACCGAAATATCGGTATACCGCACTTACCGTACCGAAAAATACCGGAAAATACCGAAATATTGGTATACCGTCATTTTCGGTACGGTATCATACCGTACCGATCTATTTCGGTACGGTAACGGTAAATGTTTTCAAATACCGCGGTATACCGGTATAATACCGTACCGACTCCCTACTCAACAATTACTTTTAATTCTAATACTTCGTATATTGTAGAAATCCATTACAATTTTGAAGCCCAAAATTAATACTTTTTTTTTCGAGGGTCCGATCCAAAATTAATACTTAAGTTGGTTACAAATACAAAAATACAAAAATACAAAAATAAATGCCCAATTTCTCAAACCCACTATAACCTTATAGGCTTCTACTACGCTAACCTTAATGACTAATGACTAATGTGAAAATGTGAAGAAACAAGTCCATCTTGTTCCAAGATCTTGCAAGTCGTGATGCTTGAGCCGCTAAGTAGCTGACAAGCGAAGAGAGATACACTTATGTGACAAGTGTATCTACATAGGGATTCCGCGAGTCGAGACACACAACTTTATCCGAAAGTCTTATTCAAATTTTAAAAAATTATAAAAATGAATATATACACAATATCATATTAGAAATAAATGATTTTATATCCATGTTGTTTGAATAGTTTTATTTATTTTTGTTAGAGATCACTGTTGATTTAATTATATCTATATTGTTCAAGTTATTTTAGGAGAATGTGTTACTTTTTAATATGCATCAATATACTAATAATAATATATTATTGTTGAACTGCTTAAATATACTAATAATAATAATAATAATAATAATTGTTCAATATTGAATTGACATCAATAGATTATTAATTGTATTTCGAAACATTTTAATAATAGATTTAACATGTCACTAGTAATAACGATTTAGTGTATTTCGTTAGTCTATGATAATTTTTTGTATTGGGAGACATGCACGGTAATTTACCGATACCGTACCGTTACCGAACCGAAACTTCGGTATACCGAAATGCGGTATACCGAAACTTCGGTAAGGTAAAGGTATGCAAATTTTGCATACCGAAAGTTTTGGTACGGCAAAGGTATGAGAAAAAATATAAGGTATACCGTACCGAACCACCCCTACTTGTGAGCCAAAGAGGAGTGATCGGAATCGAAGACTTCCGAAACATCTTGAAAATTATGAAATCGATTTACCTCCGTCACTTGATCATTCACGGTCCAGTGTCCATTCGGTATATCCTCTTTCTGATTTCATTTGTTATGAAAAATTCTCATTCGCACATAAAGCATTTCTGGCCGCCATTACGTCACGTGATGAGCCAAAATATTTTTCACAAGCTGTACAGGATCCTCTTTGGCGAGAAGCCATGAGAAAAGAAATCAATGCCTTAGAAGAAAATCAGACCTGGAATTTAGTTGAATTACCCCCAGGAAAAAGAGTTGTTGATTCTAAATGGGTTTATAAAATTAAATATAAACCTGACGGAGATGTGGAGCGTTACAAAGCTAGGTTGGTAGCGAAAGGCTTCACACAAGTTGAGGGAGTTGACTTTCATGAGACGTTTGCTCCGGTTGCCAAATTAGTTACTGTACGTTGCATCTTGGCAGTTGCGGCCAAACGCAAATGGGCAGTACATCAACTAGACGTTAATAACGCTTTTCTTCATGGTGATCTTTCTGAAGATGTGTACATGCGTATTCCACAAGGGTTCGCAAAAGTTGGTGACACCCGCGTTTGCAAGTTACAAAAATCTCTTTATGGGTTACGACAAGCATCCCGTAATTGGTATCATAAATTCACTCAAGCTCTCACCAAAATTGGTTTCCGTCAATCCCAAGCGGATTACTCACTTTTCACCTTCCGACAGGGCCTTGTTACCACTTTTGCCCTCATTTACGTAGATGACGTAATACTAGCTGGAAATGACATTTCCCACATTAACACGGTGAAGGGGTATTTGGATACCGAATTTAGTATTAAAGACTTGGGAAAACTTAAATACTTTCTTGGTATTGAAGTTGCTCGCTCTCCTGAAGGTTTTGTATTGAGTCAACGAAAGTACACCCTTGATATTTTGGAAGAGTGTGGTCTCCTAGCAGGCCGCCCTAGTCAAACCCCCATGGAGCAGAATTTAAAGCTCCGCCCAGATGATGATAGCCCTCTGGTGGATGCCTCTTCCTATCGACGACTTATTGGACGACTGTTATATCTCACTGTCACTCGTCCAGACATTGTTTACTCTGTAAGTCAGCTCAGTCAATTCCTCAGCACCCCCAGACAAACCCATCTTGATGCCGCCATACGCGTTCTCCGTTACTTAAAGCAAACACCGGGTCAGGGTATATTCTTGTCTTCTGAGGATGACTTCACCTTAAAAGGTTATTGTGATACTGATTGGGCAGGATGCTCTTTTACTCGTCGGTCCAGTACCGGTTATTTCATTACCCTTGGCAATTCACCCATATCGTGGCGAACAAAGAAGCAGTCTGTTGTCTCTCGCTCTTCTGCTGAAGCAGAATACCGAGCTATGGCAGTCACAGTTAAAGAAATTTTGTGGTTACGGTGGCTACTAAAAGATCTTACAGTTTCTCAAATGGGTCCTACATCGCTCTATTGTGATAATCAGGCCGCTCGACATATTGCACTTAACCCGGTTTTCCATGAACGTACCAAACACGTGGAAATAGATTGTTACTTCGTTCGGGAAAGGGTTGCTAGTAATGAAATTCGACCATTTCCTATCTCCACGAATAATCAGGTGGCCGATATTTTCACCAAAGCACTTGGGGCAGATCATTTTCAATTTCTTCGGAGCAAGTTGGGTGTTCGTAATCTTCACACTCCACCTTGAGGGGGAGTATTGAGATATTTGATATTTTATTATTATTATTATTATTATTATTATTATTATTATTATTATTATTATTATTATTATTATTATTATTATTATTATTATTATTATTATTATTATTAAATGTGTAATAGGTTGGCATGTCTACTTGCATGGGCCATGCAAGATGTATTCTCTCTCATGTAATTTGCCATGCGTATGTACTATAAATATGCATGAGGTATTGCTTAATAAAACACACGAAGGAGAACTCCCTCCTTATATTATACTCTCTACTCCATATTATTTATTCATACTTATTTTCAATTTTAACATTGTTATAAATTGATTTAATTTAAATCCTCTCTATTGAGTTTCAACCAATTTACATATTGCTTGAAACCCATTCATTTGATTTAACGAGTTTCTACCAAGAAAACTGTTGTCTGATTTAATGATAAAAAAATCTAAGAAAATAAAACATAAAATAGTAAAAGCATGGAGGACATAATTCTGAAATCTGTAAACAGCTTCATTTAAAATCTTAGAAAAAAGAGGTGCCAATATGGCGGACGTAATTCTGAAATCTATTTGATAGAAGAAGAGGTGTTATTATTATCACACAATGATATGATGTTTACACTAAAATTTAAAACAAATGTTTGGTGTACATTTTTTTGTTTACATCTTTGTTATATTTGTTTACATAATTGTCTGAATATATAGATTATAGACAATTCTATTTAGACAAATGTGTCAAAGGTGTTATACAAAAAACACGAAGCACAGCTCGAAATTTAACATGTCAGCATCCCATTCGTCTATACTACGTTGGATATCAAATTTTAATTTGCCCCATTGTTAAACAATGATGACGGGACACTTTTTAATGTATACTTCCTCTTATATTCTACTCCATCCGTTTCTAAAAGAACCTCACACTTTCCTTTTTTGGATGTGCCAAAATAAAAGTCATACTTCCCTTATTTCCTTATTTGGCAAAGAAATCTATATCCAAACAGTGCCAAACAGTGTCCAAACAGTGCCAAACAGTGTCTAAACAGTGTTTTCTACAGTAAAGTCAATTTATTTCCTTAATAATCGTGAAGTCAAACTGTGACTTTCTTTTAGAAACGGAGGGAGTATAAGTTAGTATTTTAAAGCACTTTAGTAATGAGCATATTAGTATATTACGGATGCTTACTTTTATTATTTGTAATAAAACGCATTACAACTATGATGAGTAAAAGTAATAACGAACAAGCGGTATCTGTTACTTTTATTGTTAGGACAAAACAATCACCACCATCTTACTACTATTATTAATATTGTATATAATTATTTATTTATGTTTTTTATTATTAACAATGGTTTGAACCTGAACCGTTTGATTTACAATTAGAATCGGTGATTTCAATCTTGAGATAATGGAATAGGACTAGTGAATCATTGGTTCCAAACGGAAGGTACTTTGCATTTTTATTGTGATTTCAGTTAAAGACAACAATTTGGTCTCTGCTTTCGATATAAAGGTGAATTGGGATGGATCTAATCCTTGGTTAAATGCATAAACTCCGTCGTGATATATGAATTTTGGACATTTGGTTCATATGATTTAAAAAAGGGAAAGTTCCCGAAATAAGACTAAAACAGTTTGAAAATTCCAAAATAGAACTGTCATGTTTTTTATTCCCAAAATAGGAGTAATTACTGTCAAGTTTGGAAAATACTGCCATGTTTGAAGTCTGGTATTGCCAAAACATGACAGTAATTAGTCCTATTTTAGGAATAAAAATATGACAATCCTATTTTTGAATTTTCAAATTTTTTTAGTCCTATTTCGGGTAATATCTCTTTAAAAAATGTCTTTGACGTTCTGTGTTATGATTAATCGCGCACGAAAACCCTCTTGAAACAAAACACTACGCATAATAATTTAGAAATCATGTGTCTTAATATCATGATTAAATGTGCAAATAAATTTGTCAAAACCCCCTAAATTGCTGATTATATTTCTTTTATTCTATACAAGTATAATGAGAGAGTTTGGTGTATTAAAGCAACGAAATACCAAAACAACCGTTGCTTTATTTGGGATGTAACCAAACCAAAATATTGAACGGCCCAGCCCAAAATAATACGGACTCTTCCTGTCTTCCATGGTGGACTCTCAAGATGGGGAGTTAATTATGTTCCGTTATTCCTCGTTTTCCAAGTTGATTCGATGCATCCAGGCTCAAGGCCTCCAGCTTTCCTTTGCAGATTTGATTTATGAAGAGACTGTTAACTTTCTTCAATTTGCAGCTTGCTTCGATCACAGTATTGTAGAGCTTGAATGATGAATTGATGGAGAGATGGATTTCCACTGACGCGCGATGGGGACGGAACCCAACGTACCGCCGGCGCCATCTTCATCGCCGGCAGCGACGGCATCCTCATCACCCAATGCCAAGCGAAGTAGAGACCCTGAAGATGAGGTTTATGTGGACAATCTCCATTCACATAAACGCTATTTAAGTGAGGTAGGTCTTCTCTCTTCTCTCTCGCACTTCCTGTCGTTCTAAGTTCTAACCTACTTCCGTTTTTCATTTAAAGTTTCTGATTTTGGTTGATTCTTTTATTTCCATGTGGTAATTGTAAGCGTATAACTGTTTATAGCTCAAGGCTAGTCTGCTACAAAAACTTGTGTTTGATTTGAGAGCTTCACCGTTTGTTGCCAGTAAAATACAGATCATAGTATAGGTAGGAAAAAAGGAGCTTACTCGTTTCCCCCTTTTGCAGATAATGGCATCAAGTTTAAATGGACTAACTGTTGGAGATAACTTAACTGATGATAGCCTTGTGTATTCTCCAAGGTCTGGAAGCATGTGCTGTATTAGGTAAATGTATTTTCTGCTACCTGTACAGTTTAACCTGCACAATAACTACAGAGTAATTTATTGGTGCATATTCCTAATCTTCGATGATGCTGTGTTTTAAACTGGGCCATGTCTTTCTTTAACCTGCAATTTGATAAGCTCAGGAATGCATTTGTCTCTAATTTCTATGGTTCGATTTATAGTTATGAATTTTCCATTCTTGATTTGTAGTGACAACTGAGTTTGATGTTCAGTCTATATCTTTATACTCCCTCCATCCCTATTTAAAAGTACCCCTTTAAATTACACACAACTTAAGAAAATGGCACTGTTTGGCACTGTTATGCACTATTTTGTTTATCAAACAAGGAAAGGGGACGTTTTCAAGGAACGAACCGAAAAGCAAAGTGGGATGTTTATTTAGGGACGGAGGTAGTAGATGTTTAGATGCTTTATTGATAAATTTTCTGTTTGATCAATGTTATTGGATTATACGATTGCATTTCTGAAAAGAAAAAGGATGGTTAACAAGTGACATCTGTTTCAGACAAATTACTTGGTAAAAAAACATACTTAGAGCCTGTTTGGTAATATATATTACAGCCGATCTGCTAAATTTGTGGTTGAAATGTCCTAAATAACCAAATCTGCTGGATTAAATGAAAATTTGTGTAAAATATGTTTCAGTAAATTAAAGAAAATAATAACTAAAATGAAGGTACACATTTCATTTTGAGCTATTTCAGCAAGAAGCATAAAATCTGCATGATAGGATCCATAAGCTAAAATGGGTTTACCATAAATTTTCCTCCCAAATGGGTGAAATACACCTTTTTTGTTTTAGGCTAACAATTTCTTTTCATTTATCCTTGAGATACAGAGATGATGCATCTATACAGTATTCACCAATGTCAGAAGATTTGGATGAGTTGCCGAGCTATGAAGTTTCTATGCACATTTGTTGTTCATCTCAGCCTGAGAGCACTCCAACCAGTCCTGTGTCTCCTTATAGGAACCACCAGAGGCCTTTTAGTGGGCTCTCACCCTTCTCTCAATCCACTTTAAACCCGCCACCAGGATGCAACCTACCTCCCGTTGCATCTTCGAGTGCACGTCAACGGGGCTCAGACTCTGAGGGCCGGTTCCCATCATCGCCGAGCGACATATGCCACTCAGCAGACCTCAGGCGGGCAGCGCTTTTGAGGTCTGTGCAGATGAGAACCCATCCGCATGGAGCAGCAACACTTTTTGATCTGTCGCTGCTTAGTCATGGTGGCCATGAGCATAGTTTGGAAATTGAAGAGAGTGATGATTATAATGTTGAAGAATGCCCATCGGTGAGAGTATCAGAATCTGAAACCCTTGAAGAACATTGTGGGATATCGGACGCGTACTTGAAAGGGGATTCGTCTCATGATTAATCATTTGTATGTGTTGCAAGTTATTATTAATTTATTAGTGTACTGCCTGTAATCCGCTCTTAAGTTTGTGCAAAGAAAAGTCTTAGTGTGTGTGTGTGTGTGTGTTGTTCTGCAGTGTTTAATTCATTCTTTTCCATTTTTTGTGGTATTGGAGATGGTGATTGATGGTCCTGATTCCTGAATCATCACTCGGTTCATATATGCTGAGTAAAGAAATGTGTATATCTCATGTTCTTCACGCTAATTTCGCATCACACCATATCATTCACCTTGACTGGTTGGTTTATTTTTTCCTCTTGCTTTGGAGGGGGCGATATCCATTGAATCATTGATGGCACTCCCATCCGCCCACACCAAAGGGCTACCCAGAGGAGGAAGTAAATCCAGAAAAATAGATGATAATATCTCAACTCTCAAGTGCTCATTTAGCTGCACCTTTGGATGGACAACAGCCAGTTCCAGGCTCTAGACGATTCTTTGCCCAGATTCAGTTTTGGTTAGGTTCCAAATTTCGCAACTCATAGAAAATCCAAATTCACTATTTGATAACAGAAACCAGATTGGTTTTAGTAGCGGTCATCAGGTCATGTAGTTGCACCCTTCTGCGGTTTGCCAAGTAACTGATGCTCTGACCCTATGGTCAAATTAACAATTATACGACTCACATGTCACAATTAGTCATGGATCCGGTTCGGGCCGCCCGGCCCAGGACCGGACCAGCCCGCTATTGTGAGGGACCGGAACCAGCCCGGTTTTCAGGTCCAGGTCCGGGTCGGGCCTAGGCCCAGTGGGGGGCAGGTCCGGGCTCGGGCCTTGTATTTGGCGAACCAGCCAGGTCGGGCCCGGGTCCGGGCCTAATTGATTTTTTTTGTTTTTTGGGATACACCCGGGTTGGGCTTGATGGTTAGGAGGGGTTTGGGGGTTTTGGGGGGTGGGAGGGGGTGGGGGGTTAGGAAAGCAAAAAAAAAAAAAATTAACCAAACCGGAGGCCCGGCCCGGACCCGGACCGGTGGCTACCCGGGCCGGTCCCGGGCCTTCATTCCCAAAGAAAAGCCCGGCCAGGCCCGGCCCGGGTCCATGACTAGTCACAATACCATGTATTGTGGTAAGACTTGACTCATCTTGATAAACTTAGTTTATTGATTACAATAAAAAGTTCTACGAAATCACTGCATCATCCAACATAGAAAAATCATAGTTGGACGAGTCACATTAACCTGAACTGGTCTTAATGAACTAGCCAGCTATGCTTCAAAGAATTTGAAGGATACTTTCCATGATGTATCCATATATCAATTAAACACTCAAATTCGAGAACATTGAATGTGCAATATACTATTATGCAGCAACTCTCTAAATCATCGAAGCATGCCTTCTTCAACTCCAATTGCCTCTTGAGCTATTGAGGGTAGTGCTGAAGTACAGACCTCTTTGATCACTTCTTTTTGGGAATCCATTTTGTAGAGTTGCCTGAAGGGATAGATGCTGCCAAGTGTCTGCCACCAATGGTATGACCATTTAACCTAAAAACATCAAGAGACTGATGAATTACTACAACTATTCCCTCACAATCACCCCTTTTCTCTTATTCAAGGGTACATTTGGAACCCCCCAAAAATGTTATGCGAAGAAAACAGGGTGAATCTTTTGAAGTAAATAAAGTACAGGGAGATATAAAAATTGTTCATAATCATTTTATTATTTATATATTCTTTTTTTATTAAAGAGATAGAAGTATAAACATATATAGACTCAAAGAGTTTTAATGTATTTTCTCATCGTCATTTTTCAGTGTAAAACCAAACACCAAAAGAGTATTTAAGTTAAGGGCATGTTTGGATAATGAAAAAATGCTGGGAAAAGGGTGGGATTTAGGGACGCTAATTTCTCATTTATGGTTTTACCTTGTGAAATGTAACAAATAGTTGAATACTGTATTGTTTAATTTTTGCATACATCAGATTTTATAGGCTTTATAAAATAAGCATAAATAATACTCGTACTACGTATTATGTTCAACAAATATATGTAGCAAAATTATTGGATTTTATTATACACTACGTATTTGATTTTATCCCACATTCATTTTAATTGTTTTCTATGTTTTTGTTCCATGTTTTCACAATTTTAACCAGCATTTTTCGGCGCTCAAACAGACCCAGGGTCAATTTCCCTTTGCCTAGCACTTTTTCCGAAATCCAAACATGCCCAAACGCTCAAAAAAGTTAAAGGTACATTTTTAATAAGTACAAACTAGAATGACACAATCAATCCTATAGCTGAAAAAAGAATACATAAATAAATGAAATGTTATGAGATATCAACAGCGAGTGTACAAAAAGGAGAAGTTATGTACTTACTTCGTTACGATTCCTATTGACTCTGATTCACTCCCCACTCTAAAGTATGCATCCACAGCTGCCTTGCCTACCCATGTCAACCTTTCTAAATTGCCAACCTTTCTACAGAGTGAATGTATTTCATTGTTGGATGCACATTTGTTAATCCCGTTGATTCTAATTGTTGATATAATTCCACCAAGATGGTATGGTTCAACCATGGTTTGATGGGGTTCACCATGACGACCGACGTGGTTGACTTTACCAGCTGGCCTCTTTGCACCAAAAACATCCAGGAGTTGAGCCATGATGCGATCTGATACATCATGAGTTTCCTTTTCGCCCACACGCTTGTTCACTAGATGGCCCTTGTTGGCTAAGCTTTTCCTTACAGAACCATTCTGCCACTGTCAAATATTAGCTTCAATTACTTTCTCCAACCACATATACAGATAGGTCATTCACAACATTGGATATTAACAAGGTTGAACCAACATAAAAAAACCCTAGACTCTAAAGGGTATGTTTGGACTTTGGATGGAGGGTTTTGGAGGAAGCCAACTAACGGGGTTGCCCTCAGGAGCCTTAGAGGACTATTCCCGTCAGCCAGCTTAGCATAAACTCATTGAACTGTATAAAAATAGCTCTTACATACAAATTACGTTATTATTTAGGGGGCATAAACCGATAGGAAATATTTCTCAATTACCCTAAACCGCTCGCGCTTCTCTGTTGACAGTTTCAGTTCTGAAACATCAGTTTCGTTCATGGCAGGGCCCAATTCCATAAAGCTGTCATCTTCCTTTTCCTTCGAAGAACTGTGGAATGATCGGTTTGAGCTTCCAATCCATTGCGTTTGCGAGCTGCAAATCCAAAGACGGAAAGATATAGTGGAATGAAATTCTGTACAGAAGAAGTTTGTGTTCTAAAATTAGGTAAATGCTGGTAATCACTTCGCACCAAATCTAAGAAAAACTACTAGTATACCTTAATTTCAACATTTCCCATGGTCGTTGCCTTCGTTGGACCGGAAGTGTTTTCCAAATGTTTCGTGCGGTAGCTAAGTATGTTCTGAAATTGAAGTAACCAGGAAAATGTGAAATTGATGATGCGAGTTTCCAGTTCATTTAGCCGGCGTTGGCGCGGGGAGGCTCGTGAAACGCCGGGAAGCGGCGGATAGGCTGGGAACTCAGCACGACCCCAATACGGAATGCAAACGGGTCCTTGTTCAACCCAGTTGAGAATATTTTACTCCCTCCGTCCCATAATTATCTTCATTCTTTCCTTTTTGGTCCGTCCCAAATTTATCTCCTCTTTCCCTTTTTAGCAAAGGATTTGTGGTTCACAATCATTCTTACACATTTCTCTCTCCTCTGCACAACTCTCCACCACACATTTCCCACTTTCTTAATCTCCGTGCCCAGTCAAAACCGAAGTTAATTCTGGGACGGAGGGAGTAGTAAAAACCGGACCGGTGAGCGACCGGTCATGTGACTGGGTCACGGGTCAACCCGGACCCGGAGGGTCAACCCGGTCAAAGCCGGAAAACCGTTCACCGATTATAAGTCTATATAATAATACGGAGTAATAAACATATAATTATATACACTGTCATTATATATTTTTATTTGTATTGTACATTTATTTTATAATTTGGCATGATTTTCATTCTTAAATAAATATATAAATACATTACATATTTTTTCTTTTTAGGGAATTGAAATTGCAATTTTATTGGTTTAAAAAATGCATTAAGATTTAAAAAGAAATTACTTTTTTTTTGAAAAGACCGAAAACGGGGTTTTCCCGGGTTTTTCGGGTTTCTTGGGTCGGGTCCGGATCGGTTTTTTTCGGGTCAGCCGGGTTTTTCTGGTTTTTGACCATTTTCGGGTTTTGAAAAAACCGAACCGGATTTTTGTCCGGGTCACCGGGTTCCGGGTCAACCCGGCCAGGTCGGGTCGGTTTTTTAAACATAGAGTTGAGACGACGTGAAATTGATTTTTTTAGAAGATAATGGTTTTCAACTTTACACTTTTTCATGACTAATTATGGTCAGTACCTCTACATAAGATAATGATTTTTTTTATTACCTCTACATAAGATAATATGGAGTATCAAATAGACAACTTTTCATGTCCAGCCGGCCTGACGGGAACCGCCATCCGGCCGAGGGAATTTCAGGCACTTCCCGATGGAATTTTTTGACAATTTTTTTGAGCATGTTCAATATCAAGTCTAGTTTATTCATACCAAATTTCAGCTGAAAACTCCATCGGGAAGGCAATCAAATGATTTTTTTGAAAAATACTGCGATGTGTATACATATTAACTTCACAGTTATCTTCATGAAATTATCTGACTGCCTTCCCGATTGAATTTTTAGTTGAAATTTGGTTTGAATAAACTAGACTTGATGAAGAACATGCTAAAAACAAATCATCAAAAAATTCCATCGGGAAGGGCCGCAAAACCCCTCGGGGATAGCAGTTCCCGTTAGGTCGGCTGGAC